AGTGTGTGTGTACAGTGCAAGAGCAAAAAGCTGGTTTACAGCGGAGGGACGTTTTAACGTTCTGTTCAGTGTGTATTTGACAGTGCGAACTATTAATGTAAATGAATGATTACAGAGCACCTTCAGCAAACGGCTGCTGTACTGTACTGTTCCTGCAGTCTGCAGAATAAATGTGCAAAGCTCTGATCCGCTTCCCTTCACCCTCAGGACAGCATAAATCAAATGTGTGTGTGACTGACAGGCTGAGTAAGTGTTTGCAAAGGCCCCCCGCCGATAAAGCAGGCCAGAGCTGGCCCATAACCCTGCGGCACAGGAAATGACTGGGATGCCATAGTGCATCTCCACTTCATCACATGCCAGACCTCTGCTGGGCTTGCACAATATTCAGCTCCAGCTGGAAGAAACGCACAGCAGAAGAAAACAAGACTCTGTAAATTAGCCTTAATAATGGTCTTGTTATGAGCTTGTTTAAAAAACGATAAGGTCTTTCGTATTTATTGTCTGGCGAGATAAGTACAGTTCAAGAGCACTGACTCGGGCTCCATTCTTACGTCTATATTTAAACCCGGGAGGTGTCCTTTATGTCAACGGTCGTCAACAGCAAACACCCGAAGAATGCACAACAGATATGTGTTAACAGCTCTCTGATTTTCCGAGAAGTTGCGTAAAATCAGGCTAGCTCCGCTGGGATCGCCAGCGTTGCGAAGGAGGGATGTGGTACCATGGCTCCGTCTTCTTCCACATCTGCAGTACGCAAAGCTGCCGACCTCAAACAGATGGAGCCAGAGTCCAGGTGCCTGAGGTCATGCGCATGTTTGGATGACAATTATATTGTCTACATATTATAACAAACACTTGGGAAAAAACAATAAATGTCATCTAGCTTTTAAACAAAAGCAATGTGATGATTCAAGGAAGCAGGAACGGATGTCACAAACGTTTGTCAGCGTCGGTGTGTGTGATTTATTCCTATGACGCTTGCTGCTATCAGAAATACAAATGGAATGCACACAGGTTTAAATATTTGCATATCTTTATGTTTTCCTTCCTTTCCTTTTGTGAATTAATCTGATTCATTTATCAAATAAATATTTGCTTATTCTGATGCTCTTCTTCATGATTCATATGGGCTATTACTTCTTAATTAGTACCTTTTGTGAATTAATCGGATTAATTTACCAAATAAATATTTGCAAATTCTGAAGCTTTCATTCTTGATTATTATAAAGAATACATGATCTAATTAAATTTTTTTTTTTTTTACTTAATTTACCAAATAAATGCAGAGTCATAAGGTATCTATATAGTTGTATATACACCCAATTTATACTGTTAACATTTGATATTATAAATATGTCTAAAATACAATATGGAAAATATTTTACAAAATATTAAGTTAACTTATATTACATTATTTTTCTACTTATTATAATATTATACTGTTATGTATTTACTTATACTCTTATTTTAATCTAATATTTTTAAATCTAATTTTAATCTTTGTATCACATTTTTATTTATATTATAATCATATTTTTATTATTTATTTTTACACTGTTTTTCCATGAACCCCTTAGCACTCGCAGTTTACATAAAAATTGCAAGAAAGTTTGAAAACCCTTGGCATGAAGGACCTTAGTGAAACCCTCTTGTCACAAGGACAATAATAGCCCTAAATAAATGTAATTACATATAAATTTTACACCAAATCTACATTGTAAGAAAGTAACATGCACAACACAACTAGATTAAACTAGGTTGCGTAATGTGGTGAAGGACTAGACAGCTTTATTATTGCTGTGTTCACTTTGCAGTGTAGAACATTTAGTTCATAAAGGGAACATTCTAGTTTGTTGCATCACTTGCCGTTGACATAAAAATCAAACACAGCAACTTCATTCAAAATTTCAATGAGTCAGAAAAAACAAGAACAGATTTATGACTAGACAGCTTTATTATTGCTGTGTTCACTTTGCAGTGTAGAACATTTAGTTCATAAAGGGAACATTCTAGTTTGTTGCATCACTTGCCGTTGACATAAAAATCAAACACAGCAACTTCATTAAAAAAAACCCAATGTGACAATTTCAATGAGTCAGAAAAAACAAGAACAGATTTATGGTAAAACTGTCTGTGTCTGTGCAATTATATCTCCAGCTATTCTTAGTGTAGATGTAATAACAAAAAACATAACTCGAGTAATCACTGGCGTCTGCTGTCTGTCGTAGCTCTTCGTTGAAGGTGATGAGAGCACACACAAAGTAATATGAAAGCAATTAGAGTGTCCAGGCAATCTGCTATTTTTGTTTGTCTTACAGCTCATCTGTAGACCAAGTCATGACAAACTATCCCAAAAATGTGAAGAGCTTTTATAACGCTTGTTGTCTTTGCACAATATAGCAGTGCTACATTACCACAGCAAAATGATTAAAAAATTCTTGCGATGCTTTCCCTGATCTTGTGAGCAAGATGATCCAATATTTAGGCTATAATCTCATATTATTTGCTCTGTTATTCAAGTTTTGTTCTTTGAAAACAGCGCATACCTGTCAGGAACCTAAAATATATGTGAGCTCCCCGACAAATCTCAAATACCAAACGCTCCAAGGAGAATTAATCTTTCCAAATGAAGAAGTACAGCTCAGCAGCCATATATGAGGTGGAAAATTTATGTCCTACATAAAACAAAACAAAAAAAGTTTCCGACAGGTACGGTAGTAACAGCATCAGTCTGATGTGATGATCTCTGTTACATTCAATAAGGAGGAGAATATTCCTTCTAAAAACTGTTGTAAAGGCATGTTCACCACAAGAACTATAACCATAATAATAACTTTAATGCCAACTATATTAGTGTCCACACCAATGGATGATAACATTCTCTTTATTATAAGTGTTCACCACAGTTATGTCACTGTCGTTTAAATGCTCAACTCTTTAAAGCAGGATGGATTTTGATTGGCTGTTTTAATCAGCTGAAAAAAATTGATTCCTACAATGTCGTTCCTCTGTGCCGTGATGGTTATAGTTGTGGTCTTTGCTATCTATTTAACCCTTGTTGTGCTGTGCTGAAAATCCTTTACCTAATTCGGTGTTCCCAATCAAACATGACTGACCTTTTAAAAATAGTTAGATCTCTCGTTATGCTATATTTTCTCAAAATCTTGGTCTCAATCTTTTTCTCAGCTTGTTTTCATTCGATTAGCACAGATTTTGCATTACATTTTGTAACCGTTTGGTCATAGGCCTCGATGATCTGAGTTTATGCATCTCAGTTTTCGAGTGAAAAAGCATTATTCGTGGATAATTCTGGCAATGTTTCATCAAAAACTGAGGTGCATAAGCTCAGATCAATGAAGCCTATGAAATTGATAATCTGTGCTGAAATAAAACAAGTTGATAAAAAATTGCATCCAATATTTGGTAATAACAGCAAAACAAGAAATGTATAAACAATTTTTTTGTAGGCCAGTCATTTTTGACTGGGAACACCAAGTGTGACAAGGTAAGGAAATAAAAATCCCCAAAATTACCTTTTTTGTTTTAAACTTTTTTTTTTATACCCGGTGTACTTTCAGGAAAAAAATATGAGCATCACAACATCAGGATTATATTTAGAATGATTTTTAAAACTGTATTAATTGTTATTGGTATATTTAGGTCAGCGCTGTGCTTCATGCTTATTTTTTTTTAATTAGGTTTAAAAAATAATGATTATCAGACAAATGGACTGTCCATATGCTTTTCATATCTTCATCCCTGTTCCATGTCATGTTGTTGCCTTTTTGTGCCAAAAAACCTTTGTCCTTGACACAGTCTCTGGAGATCTACATGAAATCACTCTTGCTCGGGCTCGTTTCTGTCTCTCATCTTGATTTACAGACTCTGATAACTGATAGCACGTGCATTTCATCTTTTAAAAGCGCCTCCACATATGTCTCTCATCTCCCAATGGAAAACAACACATTACAGACCTACATACAGCTTAGCTATCAGATGACACAACTATATGAAACCATTTCATCTGTATTGGTTTAGAATTTTTATATATATATATATAAAATATATATATATATCAAAACTTTCTGATCTAACGACCCTGCTCTGCTCGGCTGCAGATGTTGACATCCACGGCCCAAGCTGGTCTGTATTATTTTGACGAAAGTATGTTCGGAATGTCCAGTGACTATAAAAGTCGCTAGCTGTTTAAACTGCACAGCATCATTAAAATCCCCCTGCCACATTGACGTGAAGTAGTATAACACGAGGAACTACCAGAGGGATCCTACTCTGAGATTAATGGCAATGTGAGCGCTTATAAAGGAATGTGATGGACTCACACAAAATAAGTCACGAGGTGCTATGACAAGAAAGACAAAGTTACGCAAAACCTAAACAACTTAACATACATCAAACATCCCTCTTACAGGAAGCACTATACTTATAGATCAGTAAGCTGTACCAAACTGTCACAATAAATAATACTTCTCTGAATTAAAACAGTATTATATCCTATAGTGTAATAAATCAGTGCTGCAATAAGTCATGCTGCCTCAATGCAGGCTGAAAAATTCTGGAACTTTGAAACTAAAAGGTTCATTTCGATTCACCTTGTCAGAGATGTTTGTTTAACACTAAATCTGCTGTTCCCTTTCTAAAAAGACTACGTCACGGATCCTATCAGGAGGTCCCATCGGCAGTGTTTTAAAGGGAGTATTTCTCCTAAATACTGCAGTTTGAAAAGAATCAGTATTTTGCAAATATACAATATTTAAAATATTAAAGAAAACTTTTTTTTTTTTGTGCAATGGCAACCACTGAATAATACTGCAGGAAACTCTGCACTGAAAAATCACAATCCAATGTTTTTAGTGTTGCAGCATTCCTGTATTTTGTGATCTGGAACTCTGGCGGGAGTAATCGTATTACTTGACTAACTGCTCTGGTGCTTTTGCTTTTAGGTCGCTGTGGTAATAAATTCTGGTAATACTGATGCCCACCTGTAGAGCACAGTTCATCATGCGAACGATATGATCAAACTGCTGGTGGTCCAGGATAGCACGGTTCTGCTGCACGTGGCGGCTGAGCTCTTCGGTCAGGCACTGGCGTGCTGCTTTGCCTTTCAGCGCCCGAAGAGCCGCAGGGAGTGCCTGAAAGAAACAGCAGCGTCAAGACATTACTAAAACATATGCTTTTAAAGTGCTCACCATCCACCTAAACCAGACTGGGCCGCCCTCATCTGGATGCAGAAGCGGTTCGCTTGTATACGCACATGCAAAGGGCGCAATCGCTCCAGCTAAATCCAGCCAGTTGACCTCTGACCCATAGTTAAAATTCCAGAAGGGTTGTTATTGATGAGATTTTACGTCTAGACGGAGGCAGCACCCTCCGCTCAGGTTTACTCGGGCTGACGGAGTAGAGGTTGTGTGGAGGTGATGTCTTTACTGGCTCAGAGAAGCCATTAAGCTGCAAGCACAACATTTTTACAACTGTAAAGGGATGCAAGCTTGCATTGTATAACCTACAATTTAAACTCAAATGTGTGCAGGTAGCTGGCTACCATTCCAACACAAACACACAAATGATGGCCGGCTCCAAACATCCTCTGTGAGCAGATTTCCTTTGCTACAGGTAATTTGCACAGAGTTATTTAGCCTAAAAAAATGTTAAGATGCTTTAGACAAACAGCAGTCACGGTTAATGTTAGAATAATATTAGTATTAGTGATAAGGGCAGGGAAATTAGAAGAATGTTTGTGACTGTTTGTTCACCCCTTTCCTCCTACGTTTGTACGACTTGCAGCTGGAGAGAGCTTTGCTTATCGTGCTGCGAATGCCATCACGAATGCATGCTGTCTTTTTCCAGATGTGCAAGTGAATGTGTGGGTTTAATCCTTATGTCATCACAGAAATGATTGCATCACCTTCTCTGTCTCCAGAGTCTTGTTGTCGAAGATGAAACCGATGCACGTCCGGACCACCTCCAGTCTACGAGCGCTGTTAAAAACCGAGCTGGGCTTGCCCATGATAGACACTGCATAAAAGACAAGAACAGTTAACAATGCATTACAGTGACTTAACCGTGGTTAAGCAGTATTGTTATGCACAACACAAAGTGTTTATACTGTAAACCTCTTAACTGTGATAAAAATCACTATTACACACCATCTCAAGTGGCTTATTGCTATTATAACAGGTCAAAAGCAAAATAAAAAGACACCAGCGTCAATAAGTAACCTCTTTTAAAAAATAATCAAATAGCTCCCTTCAGGATGATACAAGACCCCTGTGCTTCACACCAGGATCCTGATCACCCTTGTCGAGGTTTATTCTGCATTAATCATCAACAGTTCTAAATTGTTTTAATTACTTAACAAATAAGTAAATCAGAGGTTTAGAACCTTTTTTTGTCTGCCAAACCCAAATTGTATGATAATTATCTGTCTTGAACAAAATTAAACTTAACTTCTGTATCATGCTGACCTTAACCAATGTTACCCTGTCTATAAGCGAAGTTTTAAAATAGCTTTACTTGTTATCTGATAATAATTAGAACAACGTATTTATTCATTTTGATAAAATGAGAGTAATTTGTTAAGTGGTATTATGATAATTACCTTTTTATATGTTTTAAAAAAATTACATGTAATAAATTTAAATAATTTTAGTACTGCCCACACATTGCCAGTCAAAAGTTTGAAATATTAAGACCTTTTTTTGGTCTGTTTTTGAAAGTCTGCATTTTATTGGTTAAAAATAGTAATATTGTGAAATATTATTACCGTTTAAAATAACTTTTAAAAAAGAAATGAATAATTTTATTTAGCAGGGATGCATTAAAATACACAAAAGTAACAGTAAACACATATATAATGTTTCTACTGTTTAATATTTCTATTTCAAATAAATGCTGTTCTTCCGAACATTTGATTCATCAAAGAATCCTGAAAAAATGTATCACAAAAATAAAAAAATAATAACTGAGCACCAAATCAGCATATTAGACTGATTTCTGAAGGATCATGTGACACTGAAGACTGGAGTAATAATGATGCTGAAAATGTAGCTTTGCATCACAGGAATAAATTACATTTTAAAATATATTAAAAAAGAGAACAGTTTAATTAATAACAATTTCACAAAATTACTGTTTTACTGCCTATTTTATCAAATAAATGCAGCATTAGTGTGCATAAGATGTTTCATTCAAAAACAAAAAAATCTTAATTACTGCAAACTTTTGATCAGTAGTATATGCACCGCTAGTTAATATAATAATTTCACATAAAGTCACATAGTAATAGTTAACTCACTCACCCACAGGTGGTCCAGCAGGCACCACACACTTCCTCTCTGGACGGGTACTGATAGGGGCGGTGTGCTGCTTGGCCAGGCCCTCCTGTATCAACTCCTCCACCCTCTCCTCCTCCAACAAGGGAAAGGGCACCACATGCACCCGCAGGTGTGAGCCCTCGGTGGGCCGAGGCACTTTCTGGAAGGCCATGTGGGGGTTTGGGTTCTCCTACAGAATGCATGTCAAAACAACTGTCTAAATTCAGTATTAAGAGCTGCAGCTTAATGGATTTCCATGTAAAAATTGGAAAAAGTTCACCATCAGTCATCCAGAGCATAACTCTATGAGCACTACAACCTCCACTGTGAAAATGTGCTTTTCGCAGTCATTCATGCTTTTGTATATTGTGAGTGAAAATTTCCCGGGATAAACTGAGCAGTATTTGATCCAAAAAGGTGACCTGCTTTCACGTGCGTGTACATCACTTACAAAACATTCATCAAAAGTACTATCCAGTCTTTAAGTGTAAAACTTTTAATAATGAGGGGAAAATTACAGAGTTCACCTTTCAAGAAGCCTTAATAAAATCCATCAAATGTGACAAGGGAGAACTCTTGGCAAAAACAGAAGGTCAACCAGAAGGACAGAGAATACATGCATCAAACAGCAGCCACTAAAGTTCAAGCACCTGAAGGAACATTTATTAGAGATGGCGTCATGTGCTTACGTTTTTGTAAAGTTGCTCGGACAGCTCTCGCAAGCGCTTCTGGAATTTGACCAGGTTCTCCTCTTCCTCCTTAAAGCAGTCTACATCTAAAGCCACCAGCTACAGAACAGAAAGAGAGGAGTTCAATGTAGGAACCCATGAATCTGTGGTTACAGTGTGTACAAGAAATCAGTTTTTCCACCTGTAATTGATTTAACATTACCCAGAACAATAGCTGGAATTTCACTCAGCTACACTGAGTCACGCATGTATTATCTTCCTCTTGTGGAATGATGTTACTTAGTAGGAGAGTAAATATTTGCTCTAACAATGATTCGATCCGATTACAGTTGTTTACTGAATCGTGCCATTACAGTACATGATGAAATAGTCACAAATTTCATTCTGATTCCATCAGAGTTTTTTGGTACAATTCATAATTATTTAAAGAAATATTCTGAAGACACAAAAAATGGGCTCTGTTTCAGCAACTAGCAAGTTTCCTTGCTGTCTACTGTCTACATGGGCAGCATCCTAACTGAAATAAATCATGTAAGTGACTGATTTGGAACGTTCTATATAGGCAGCAACATGAAGAGCAGAGGAGACATTAATCACTAAGGATTATAGAGGCATCTCACTTCACTTACTCATGCACTACTCTGTGCCATTTTGTAGATAAATAGACTTCAAATACCCGAATGAAGTGAAGTGTGTAATATTGGATACATACGTAGTAGAGAGGAATGGCACCAGTGTTGGATGCCAAAATAACCTACATATTAGTAAATAGTGCATAGTATATAGTGCGTCATTTGGGACACAACTTATTTATGGTGTTAGCATGTTGCTACGTTAACACTGCAATACTCAATTAGGGTGGGCATTTGTCCGGTTTTAGGTCAGACAGTCTGGTTTTGAAACACTGTCAACCTACCAGCGCAGCCTTGAGCCGCACAATCATTTGTCCTCCTTTTAAGATCATCACTATTTAATACTTTATTCAATGGTGCATAATAAAAAATATAATTATTAAAAAAAAAAAACTTTGTTTAAGTTATTATTACGTGAAGTACATTTTAGACAAAATATTGACTGTTTTGCTATATTCCTCCAACAAAATTAGTTCCAAAAAGAGTCTCTGATGCATCTCTGATGTTTTGTTCCTGAATGATTCAGAATTTTTTAATTCTATGATTCAGTGATCCGTTCATAAAGACAGTCATTTGTTTCATTCCTGAATGAATCGGTTGTTTTGAACGAAACGGCTGAATGAATGAATCAATGATGCATTAATTAAGCTAATGACTTGCCTCCACCTACTGGCATTTTAAGTTGCATACTTAAAGCATTTTTTCCAACATTTCATGCTTCTATATTCTATTTTATATTTAAAACAATCTCATAACATTTAACAATGATTATATTACCTAAAAAGTGTAATGTAATGTAATTTTTTGTGATGTCATTTTGTATCAATAACGGACTACAATTTGTAGCACTGCATATATGCATCTCAGTACATTCAGCAGTACACTTTAATCATATTTCAAAGACAATATAATTATGAAATGACATATAAAGAAGTATCTACTTCCGGAGTGAATCAAAAAACACTGTTAAGTTCAACTGACTGAATTAAATATACATTTAAACTACAACACATTTTCATTTTGCACATAAGTATATTCTTTTAAGGTATATAATATCTGTAATAAGTAGTCTTATATAGCATACTATTTCTTTTTTTGTTTAAGTGTTGTGCTTATATATGAACAAGACTTGATCTTTTTGAAAGAATGATGACATAACCCGAAATGGCTACCTTTTTTGTCACTGTAACAACAATTATTCTTAAATTTTGGATAGTGAGGATATGCAGCCACTCACAGAAAAGGTGAGATGAACATATACATTTAAATGTATAATATCATACATTTAAAGGGCTAGGGCTATCGCTATCATGCCCTTATAAAGGTAATAAAAATCTGTTTAATTTGGACATCAATTTAAAGGGGGCCAAATATTCTACCTTAATGGAAAAGTTCATTTCTGTCACTGCTTGTAGGTTTGGGATTATTTTTCCAGGTTTGATGTTTTTTTTCTGCTTTCTCCACCATCTTGGACAGACTGCTTGTCGCATTATATTCTGGGATTGCCTTTCTCACTGCAAATAGCCAAATGTTTCCTACGTTCACAAACAGCCCTTGCATTTGGAGGGCGCCCATGAATTATCCATTTCTACACCCCTGTGTTACTTAGTGGGCTCTGATAAAGAAGTACCGCACCTCATCAAACAGATCACAGGCTCTGTATGGAGGTCCCCGTTCAGACACGAATCCCGCAAAGGCCATGCCATCCAACACCTTGGTCAGGAAGTCATTTTCTATCAGGCCCCGTTGGCCCAGGAATGCAGCCTATCAGGGAAAAGAAGGTCAACGATCAAAGAAAAATCATGGCATCTGCTAAACTTCCACTTCAAACCAGCAGCCAAGTTTAATTCAAATGTTGCAGAGAGATTTTTTTTCAACAAAACAACTTCCAGAAGAAACAAAGTCAGACGTCTGTTATCTGCATCACCAGATACATCAAATGAGATGGGCATATGTATATTTAAACAGATCCCCTGCAGCATCAGCCAGTAAATTAAGGAGCATTTGGCAGGACTCAAGTTGCTCAGTTTCGAGATGTGAAGCATTCTTGTGCTATAATCTGAGCCATGTGGGGTGCTTTATGGGGATCGTATTGAGACGTTGCCACAGAGACATCGGCCGACACAAACAAAAACAGGTTGGGGGGTGAAATAACACTTGCAAATACAAGTTTGATACTTTTCATATGGCTCATTGCGAGGACAATCCGACGGACCAAAGTGTTTTAAACAAACTAACCGCGATACCATCGGCATGAGCGCTTACGTTTGCACCGAGGCACTTCAAAGCGAAGCATGGATGAGGCAAAGCTCAGTGCTTATCTAGCGAGTTCATTGAGATTATTCTTTCATTCTCTGGCTCTGACCCAAACCCATGGTGTTTATGAAAAGGCAGGTGTTTGTACAAGTGCAAGCTGCCTTGGGTTAAGGTAAGATAAACAATGCTGTATTTCAAACCAGTCACAGTTGTTTGTACCGTCTGGCAGCCTATATAACATGACATGAGATTAATATTTATTCAGTGCGTCCTCCTAAGAAGTTAATATTTACGAGTTGGGTAGTCGTAATTATGATGTCAGGTGCATTCAAATCATTTTGTTCGTAGCAAGACGGCAATGTACCTGTTTGTTATAATTCAACAAAATGAACAAAATATGATGAGCAATTCATTAACAAATCATTGTTTTGATATTTTAGTGGATCAGTAGATCCAGTTCTCAAGACTGGCCTATACTTTGGTTAAAGCAGAACACAAAATCAAAACACTACATGTGAATAAGGTAAAAACAACAACTAATAGATAACACCATACTTCCCCAGTTGATTAATCACTGAACATTAGGACAATTGTGTTGTATTACAAGTTTATTATGACGTTATGTTAAAATGTCATTTATATTTTATAATAGCATTATCTTATTAAATCTATTAATTTGCATACATTTCCAGAAATGAAATCTTAACAGAGGATAAAGCCAGGTTTAAATTTCCTGTTTCATTTTGTTAAAGGTTTTTACAGAGGCGTTTTAGATATCTCTTTTTTAATCACTTATAAATCAGAAAATACTGTCAACAGCTAGATATTTGTAGAAATAAAATATTATAGAAATCAGGAAAATGACATATGAATAAACTCCCCTTTGTATGTGCATGTATGTGTGTGTATATATATATATATATATATATATT